TCCCTTTCCTTTCAATTCCTTTCGTTTTCCTTTTATTCTTCCAGAGTTAGCCCAAGCTTGGTTTCTGTGGTGTCACGTTATAAGGAAATGTATGGTGATAATTCATCAAAAATTTCAATAAAATCCTTGAAACGTGAAATAAAGCCTCGAAATCCCCACCCTGGAAAAAAATCTTAAAACGGGCTAAATTCAAAAACTAACTAACATTGTGAAAGAAGTGCTATTTCTTAATGATCGGGTAGAATTTCGAAGCTTTGTTTAAGGATTTTATTGAAATTTTTGTTGAATCCTCATACATTTTTTTACAGGACACCACAGAAACCAAGAATGGGCTACCTGTGATTCTTCGCTCCTTTCATTTCGACCAGCGGTGTTGCGCATCATCATGCTCCATATCGAGGCTAGTACATCGGACAAGAGGTAGAAAAACCTCCAACAAATTGTTTTGTTTTGGTGCTGTGTTTTTCCACGATGTTACGCTGTGTAGGGCTCAGAAGCAAGCTTCCTTCTTTAGCTCCTATATTAGCATGCCAGGTAAATAAATATGAAATGAAATCCTTTTTGTATCATTGCTATATTGTGGAAAACGCGCGCAGCTCGATGTCGGAGTGTCAGCCATTTTTAAAAAACTTACAGAAAACGTCATACAATTTTCACTATTATTGAAATTTAAAAATAAAATACATATTTTCTTTGAGTAAGAACGTTCATTAGTAATCTTAGTAGGTATAATATAGGTATTATTTTGTGAGTAAAGAAATCATAAATTATAATCGTCCTGGAATATTTGTACGTGTTTGATGGCACGTTGTACATATCAAACTTATTACAGTTATTAAATCATATCGACCAGGTTAATCCTGTTTGCTATACAGTAGTGAATTCCACTATATCTGAATATTATCCATTTCAAAATTATCAGAGTATTCTTTGACAATACAGTCGGTGACACAGCGACTGTTATATTTTGTTAATCCTTCCCTGTTTTATTTCGATGCACTCTACAGACTTTTCAAATTACAGCTCGTAACAGTCTCCTACACAACTCTTGCATACACAATTGTTTTGTTAAGGGTCCTTAATAGCAATTTGTTGTGTGACAGGCAAATTGCAGGCGTTATCTTCATCGTGAGCCTCTCCATCCAGAATGGAGAGAAATGGCCAAGAAACAGCTGAAGGGAGCTGACCCAGAAAAGAAACTTACATGGCACACCCCAGAGGTGATTATACTGTATTATTTAAAACTATGGGATGTCTTATTGGTTGATTGTTATTTAATTTTTACATGTACACTTGCATGATAAAAAACACAGCATTAGTAGTCAGTCTAATAATTATAAAGAGACTTTGATGGTACTATCGTYGTGTACGGATTAACAAAGTATATGTCATAGGTTTTCAAACACACGAGTGGGACTTAGAAATTTTGGTTCTTCTCACTTAGACAAAAAAATTAAGTGAAGACACCAAGAATCGAAAGTGGTACCTTCAGCACCAAAGAACTACTACAATGCCAACCCCAACCCTAACCCTAAACCTAACCCCTAGACCACGAAGTGAATTCGGTTGGGTGGTCTCATTTTTTAGTCATATTGAAACGATGTATCATCAGCATATGCACATCAATATTAAATTTTATTATAGTTTAATTTATGCTATCGTAGGGTATCGTAGGGGATTGTTCACAAAATCATCTATGTGGTGTACGTAAGAGGTAATGCCCATAATAGTGTCCCAGGTGTTCTGTCTACTTACTGTCTGCCATTAAGGCCATTTCTCAATCATTTTTTGGGTATTTGTCAATATTAGGTACAGTAGAACCCYGCTCTATGGCCATCTAATACGGCCACTTTGGCCTGTCACCTTGTTTGGCCATTTTAACTGGGTTTACAGTACTGTAGTAACTTTTCATTAGGAACTGTTGATCATGCAACAGTTAAGTAATGGTAGTCCTTCGATTGTGTAATGATGGGCTATCCATGGTTAGTCTTCAGGGCACCTGGGGCACTGTTCTTGGGTATAAGCGGTATGGCAGATCCATGAATAGCATGGATCTATAAATGTAATGTGATGATCATGGTGGTGGTAGGGATGACTATCCTCAAGCAGTTTAGAGTTGATTTAGATATATTTCATTTTACGTGGAGCCAGCCTGTACCGCTCGGAACGAGTTACATGATTGGATTAAAAACAATAGATTGGTCATCCAAACAACAGCACTAAACCTAACCTTATGAAAGCAATACTGTACTTAGGGAGCAATGAAAATCCAGCTTTCGAGCGGTACTGGATTACTCTTTACGTGCCAATGATTCTATTGGCCTGGCCCTATCAATGAATCATGTCTTTAGAAGTGTGTAATTTTAAAAACTACCCTAAACATTTTCTCGGGGGGGGGGGGGGAAGAGGGGGAGGTACTCCCCTATATTCGCTATACAGGTACGTGCAGTCAAACAGGGTATGGTTTTTGGCAATTCTACTCTGGAACAGGGTATATAAAATATCTATTTTCGCAATACCGGAACAGGGTGTGGCTTTCAGCRATTTTACTCTGGAACAGGGTCGGGGTTCAAAGGGCTCAGCTGCACATCCCTACCCTAAACGGGCAAGAGTACCCCCTGGGAACATTTTAAGCTACTAACTTTTCTCTTTAGTAATGTTATGTTTTATTTACAGGATATTCCTATCAAGCCTGTTTATACCAAAAGAGATACAGAACAAATCCCTGAAGAGCTTCCTGGTAAATTCCCTTATACCAGGGGCCCATACCCTACTATGTACACCAACAAACCTTGGACAATCAGACAGGTAGGACAACCACAGCTTGATGGAACAACACCTGGTTTATCATGTGAAAACCATAAATAATGATTATACATTTATCTTATTGCTAATTGGCAAGAGCCTTCAGCAAATCCCAGATATCATGTGAACTTGACATGATAAATGTATTATCTATAGGTTTTTCTGTAGATAATACATTTATCATATCAAGTCCACAAAAGGTCACAAAATAAAGACTGAAATACATTAAATTCATTTTTTTTTTCAAAGCTGAATTAAATCTTTATTTTTAATTTACAAATTGTATGATCATAAAACAACTATATTTTATTGAATTCAATTTTTGCATGATATCGCAAAATATGAAGACCTTGGCTGCCAGTTTATAAACCTTAGCCTGATAATTTATGCAAAACCTCAAACAGTAAATGTTTTTAAAATATCATTCAGTGGTCCTAACTTGTCTCATATTTTTCCATAGTATGCCGGCTTCAGTACAGTAGAAGAAAGCAACAGGTTCTATAGAGATAACATTAAAGCTGGACAACAAGGACTCAGTGTGGCATTTGATCTGGCTACACACAGAGGGTATGTATCTAATGGCTKGATTGGTATGTTACCATTGAGTCAACAGTTCAAGGAATTCTGAAAAAAAAATAGATTGACAGACTACAATTTTAAACATTTTTTTACCAGCAAGTTTCCTTTTTCCATAAAAACCCTGCAGAGTCACCATTTTATGTTGTTTTTTTTTTTGTTAGTAATGGATCATGAATTGATACTGTAATATAATAATTTTATTTTTGTTAGTAATGGATCAAGAAGTGATAAGTACTGTATAATAATTTTATTTTTGTTATAGTAATGGATCAAGAAGTGATATATAAAGTACTGTATAATAATGTTATTTTTGTTAGTAATGGATCATAAAGTGATACTGTATATTGATAATTTTATCAGAGTTGTTCAACTATTCTCCCTTGGCTCCAAGACTTTTTCTCTGAACATTGTATTTAGGGAGCATTATTTTATAATATTTGGGAGGGAGGTCTGTTTGAATTCTGAGTTTTATGACACATTTTTGGTAGCTCCTCTTTACAAACCTAATTGTTTTATTATAATTTTAAACTTGGATATTAGAGAACATACAAAATCCAGGATAAAAAAGTGTTTTAGTATTACTTCCCCTCTGACAAACTTTAGGAAAAAACCTCATGTTCACCACTTGAGAAGTGAGTATTGTCTTATCATAACTGGTTGCTCCATCAATCACAGTCCACAAAACTCCATACTCAAGTCTAAAATCATACTAAAGTTAGAAATCAAACTAGCAAAGATACTGTCTATTTCCCTTTGGTATAGGTATGACTCAGATAATCCAAGAGTTGTTGGTGATGTGGGCATGGCTGGAGTAGCCGTGGACTCTGTTGAAGACATGAAAGCATTGTTTGATGGTATCCCTTTAGATAAAATGTCTGTTTCCATGACAATGAATGGTGCTGTCCTTCCTGTGTTGGCCATGTACATAGTTGCTGCTGAAGAACAGGTAGGCATCAGCCATAAATTATCCATCATCTTCATTCATTAATGATTAACATTATAAATTGATGTTTGTTGTTATTGGATTTGATTAGAAGGCAGTTCTGATGTTCCTTGTATGAGATAACTGCATAAGCCATGACAAGCCATGTCAGCATTGTGATTGGATGAGATGGCATTTACTGAATTACATCATAACTTTATTACTCATATTTTTGTAACCCAATTTACATGTATAATAAGTAATATATAYAGTATGAGTGGCTGTGTTGTATCCGATATACAAACTCGAGGCATAGCCAAGACACAAATACTGTAGATTACTTATCAATTGTCTAGGTTAGTTCCTTGTTTGTGTTTCACTAAAATTTTCAAAATTAAAGTGAATCTGGCCAAGAAAATCCAACTTAAAGTTTATTCAAATGAACTCAATTTTGTATCAGATTTACAACACTCTTCACGGTCGTGACTTCTGTTGTGTTTTCCTCATGAATCATTAATGAGTTTGATAAATTATTATATTACTCCAGGGAGCCAAACAAGACCAACTGGCAGGCACCATTCAGAATGACATTTTAAAAGAATTTATGGTCAGAAACACCTACATCTACCCACCAGACACCTCCATGAATATTGTTGGAGACATCTTTGCTTACACATCACAGGTATGCTTTATCTCTGTTGCAACAACTATGCATTCTGTATATTTTTATCGTGTCCAAGGCATTCAGTGCTAATGGAGTACATATGAACCAGGGAATTATGGTCTTTTCGCTACCTTGCACTTTCGCTACTGCACATTCGCTACTAATAGAAGTCGATTCGCTTCCTTGAGGTAGCACAATCACTACTTTATCTCAAGATACCTGTAAACCTCCTCCATAACATTTTGGATGGTTTATTATCAGTATTTCTATGTAATTTGTTATTATTTGAATGTTTTTTTAAAGAAAGAAATTTTAAAGCRTATTTGGCGTAATGGAGAAGTCGGCTGAATATCCAGAAATCTTGTAATTTATTTGAAAGAAGCATCCCAGAAATTATTCATCTCATGAATGACCCTCACTTAATACTAAAACAGGAATCACAAAAATCTTTGACTAGACATTGTATAACTGTATATAGATGTTTATGATGGTATTAATATGTTGATTATCCTGATTAGAATATGCCTAAGTACAACAGCATATCCATCTCAGGCTATCACATGCAGGAAGCTGGTGCTGATGCAATCCTTGAAATTGCTTTCACTATTGCTGACGGCATAGAATACTGTAGAACAGGTCAGATTTAAACATCTTATTATAAATATTTATCTTTATGATTGTTTCAGACCTAACCAGGAACACACCTCCCTGACATAACTGATTGCAAATAGTCATTTTGCCAAAATTATTCATTCATGAGGCAGAGACTTTTATTTGGGGAGAACATGTTTCTTCAACCTTTTAGAAAAACCATTGGCATTCATTCCAGTCATTATTGTTAACTAGCAGCTCATAAAACATTTCCTGCCTTAGAAATATCAACACTGCAATGTCAAACAATCATGCAACAAACATGGCGGCATTGTGAGCTGACAATACCTGTAGTTTTCCTGAAATCTTTAAAAGTGAATCTTCTGGGGGRAAAACCACATTGCCCACATCCTCGCCAGTAATGTATAGCAATGGCATACTATTGGTATTTTCCAGCTTAGTAGATTTTCCTTGACTGGTGGACAACACTTCTCTTGCGCTATTATACAATGTCATATGATACTCGTGTGTACGCAATCTGATGTGAAATGAGAAAATAATTAAAAAAACATCTTGATCTGCTGCTCCTGTTGATAGCAAAATCAAATATTTCCTAACTTACAGTATGTGTGGACTTTTCCATATTAATACTTAGTATTTTTAAACAAGTGAATGTAATAAATCCGGTGAGCTCATTGGTCACRATTTACTTCTTGTGAAGATGTTATTTATGTATGTATCAGGTATCAAGGCAGGGCTGGATATTGATATGTTTGCTCCAAGACTCTCATTTTTCTGGGCTATTGGTATGAACTTCTACATGGAAATAGCAAAAATGAGGGCTGCCAGACGATTATGGGCTCATTTGATCCAAAAGATGTTTAAACCAAAGAATCCAAAGTCTTGTCTGTTAAGGACTCATTCCCAGACATCAGGATGGTCTCTTACTGAACAGGTACCTTGATCATTCTTTAGTTAGTGTACATGTAACATGCAACATAAGTGGGCAGGCTTATAATCTACTTGCATGATAAAAAATTTACAGCAAGATGAGCAAAAGAATTACCCATTTAATGTATTCACATACTGATACTTATACATATGCATGGGTTCTGTATGTTAAACCGACACATTTCAATKCAAAGCKGGCTGGTTTTACCAAATAAGGCCATGCAAATACTCCTTAGGTAGGAAAAAGCCCATGCATAGAAGTATGTTTATACATTACAAAATGTGGTCACACTTTTGCGTGCTGAGCTGTAAAGAGTAGACCAATGAGAAAGTTTTTGTCTGTGTTTTTTGTTAGCTAACTGGTTTCTAGTTGGTATCTATCTCTAGTATTATTTGATACAGTTTAACTCTATTCTTGAATGCCCCACAGCTGCAAATAATTGTTTAAATACTGGATTGTGACATGTACTACATCCATGCATCTTCCCATCTTCCCATCCATTCTTACAGCTCTACCATCCCTCCCTCCCTCCCTCCCTCCCTCCCTTATTCATTCATTGCTTCCTTTCCCTCAATTGTCCATTTATCCATCCATCCATCCATCCCTCCCTCCCTCCCTCCCTCCCTCCCTTCCATCCATCCCTCTATTATTTGATTGATTGACAATATGCTAGGAATACTGACAGGTTTCTTTTATTCCTCATAAGGATCCTTACAATAATATCATTCGCACAACCATAGAAGCAATGGCTGCCGTGTTTGGTGGAACCCAGTCTCTTCACACCAACTCTTTTGACGAGGCACTTGCTCTTCCTACAGTTTTTAGTGCCAGGATTGCAAGAAACACCCAAATCATTCTACAGGAAGAATCTGGTATCCCAAAGGTGAATTATAATGACATCAACATCTCCTTTGAACATAAAACGTTTGTACAGTACAGACATCAGCTTACTGATCCTTAGCGTCAAACATGTGGATCACCTGACACTGTGACTTTTAGCATATGTGGAGAAAGAAACCTTTCATCTGCCATACTTATATCTTACTGTCACGTTTGTTTATATTAGGTAGCTGATCCATGGGGAGGATCGTTTCTCATGGAATCTCTGACAGATGAGCTGTATGAAGCAGGAATGAAAGTGATCAATGAGGTTGGTATAGCAAAGAAGTAGCGCTTCTCAACCAAATGGCTACCATTAAAAACTGATGGCACAGTAGAGTTCACTGTCCAGAACATATGCCCAAATGATTTGCATAGCTGCATAGAACGATGGTATTGCATTGTATGCATTTGTTGTAAGTTATGTCACTGGCATCATAGAAGGAGGAGGAAGTTCAAGATCTAGAAGGTTATTGAGAATAACATGCAGTATTCTTGTGTACTGGTCACAATAGTTTGATATTTGGCTTTGTACATTAGCCTTGCCTGAAAAACCCTCCACATGTTACATTTGAGCCACACTGTCATTGAATGAACTGCATTTTGAGAGTTAAACACATTTAACAGATAATTAATAGGGTACCTTCTGTCAGTTGTCTTAAATTTACTCTGTTTTAATTTCATAGGTGGAAGGAATGGGTGGAATGGCTAAAGCTGTTGCTGCAGGCATGCCTAAGCTGAGAATAGAAGAGTGTGCAGCAAAGAAACAAGCAAGAATTGATTCAGGATCA